AGGGACACGAGTGTCGTCGGGACGCCATGTGTGAGGGCGGATACGCCTGCATGTTCGGCTGTGCCAAAAGCGCATCAAGCGTGGGCGTGAGGGCGCCAGGTGCCGCAAGGAGCGGGATTGTGGAGCAGGGATGTGCTGCGCCCGTCGCCATGGAGAGCAGGTGTGTCAGCGGCGTGTGCCGTTGGGCCACAAGTGCTACGTCCCTGAGGGCGGCCTCGACTACTCCATGAACCAGCTTTGTCCGTGCGAGAGCGGCCTTGTGTGCAAATACACGGCTCAACAGCCTCCTTCCAGGCACCAGCTCATGGCCCTCATGTCGGCGCACGAGGACATGCGCTGCGCAGCGCCCTCGCACCGCGTCGACTGACATGTCAGGAGTCGATTGTGTTCTCACTGTGTTTATCCCAGATGAAATTCTAGTCAGTAATTTATCTCGCATAAGTTAATAAACCTTATCTAATTTTCCGAACTGTCTGAATTTAACCCTCACTCAATAATAGATCTACCCAGTGCAGATAAACTAGGTCAGTAGGTACGGTAAAACCCTCAAAAATGTCTCACTAAAAGACATCAGACGCAATTCGAAAAAAAATCGTTAAATCGCAGTAAGATCCTAATGTTTACAGTTATTTTCATAGACTAACTTATCAAGCTAAATGAACAGATAAATAAATCAATAAATGATTAGATAGATGATGAGTATAGATATATATATATAGATAGATTCATATAAAAAGGTAATGTCAACATCATTATTAATGTTAAATGTTATTTTAGAATGGCAAACTTAGTAGACATCAGAACATCTCACTTAAATCACTTACAAAAAAATCAAATGAAAAGAAAGGGAAAAAATATATATACGAACAAAATATTTTTGTTGGTTCCGGTATTTAAATCGTATGGAACATATTTTTGGGGCTGTATCCTGTATATTTCTAATAAACATGGCCTAGAAATATGCTGCAGATTTTTTTTTTTTTTTTTACCTGTCTACTGTACTAATTGTTTTTGTCTCATCCTAGACTTGTTATAAACTGTTTCTCTTCAAGTGGCATAATAATGATAATTGAAGTGATAATAGTTAATGATATAATAGGAGCAGCAACGATATCAGTTAAAGTCAATACTAAAAGTCCAATATAATGGAAAACTAAGGCTACTAAAACAGTCCAATTGGCGAGACAAAAGGACAAAGCGCATTTTCACCCCAAAGAGTTGTGTTGTAATCATCAACACCTCTACATTGCAAATGACAGGTTTCGACTTCCAGGTCATCAGTTTGGTGTTCACGGGTGTTCTAAACGGAGACGTCTCATTTCCACATGCACACACACAATTATATATCATATATATATGTGTATGTATGTATATATATGTACACACAAATCTATACGTATATGGATACATACATAAACTGTATATATATGTATATATATATTTACTTATCTATCTATTTCATCTATTTATTTATTTATCTATATATTCATCTATCTAGCAGCGTTGATAAAATACCCCTCCACTGATTGTTCAGACACACTCATAAATCTCCATCAGTGCTTATGAGTTCTCAATGGATAGTTTAAATCTTATTGGTCTTTTTGTTCTCTTTGAATGTTATATTGAATAAATGCATGTTAAACGTAAATACTGGATTCTACAGTGCCGGTGCTCCACCGAATGTGCATTCCGTTCTTAACTATTCAGTGACCAACACTGAGTCGAAGGAACAGGGAAGAGCAGCAGGCATACTTGTCATGAACAGGTGTGTAGACCCTTGGGCTGTTGGGCCTGTGGTCGTAAGAGCCCACGATGTGTGCGATCACATGAGTAGTGAATAAAAATGTGGATTTAACTAACTGAAATTCCTTTAGAATCTTTTGTTCAAGGCGAGAAAAACGGTCACATAATCCCGTCTTTGGGTTACTTGCAGGGCATCTCGGGTCAAAGTAGGTACGATGGCGGGCAAGTCATAATTGCTGCCCCACCCTTGACCGGATTAAGCTCCCATATCCAAGACTCTTGATAATCAGATCCTATAGCTAATATGAATATTCATATGATTTCTTGTTTGTATGAAGTGCACTATCGTTTGTATGGTGGCGTGTACATTCATTTAGGATATCATGACAGATTATCCCATAAATAAAACACTGCCAGGCATACATATAGTTTCCTTGTGTTGATTCCTAAATTAAGATATATGCTCATTTGTTTAAATGTGATTGTTTCTGTGATGCGTTTCATTAAAAACAGTACACTTCCTTGTATCCATTATCCTTACATTTCGGATCCACAGCGGACAGGAACGGGGAATCAGGACAGGTGAGAGGATTATGTGTCCAGGGGGCGGGCAAGTGATTATGACTTGCCCGCCCATCGTACCTACTTTGACCTAAGTTGACCTCCGTAAATCTTCTATTATTTTTTCCCGTAACGTCTGTAACAGGTGGATCAGGTGCTAGGCGTCGTCACGTGATCAGTCCTCTCATATATGAGACCAGAGACTGTGATCAGGTCAGTACTAGCCGGACAGGTGACGCACACTCAACTCACTCTCAAGTGCACACTCTTCTTCCTTGATAAGAAACCATGAACTTGTGTCTCTTCTTCCTGACGGTGGGTGCCTGGTGACCCCCTGCATGGCACAAGGACTTTCCTGGCTCTTCAGACGCCTCCATAAAGCAGGTCGCCATAACATCCGCGACATCAGTGGCGGCCGTCACAACTCCCATCAACTGATGACAGATCAACCCTTCGACTTCTACAAACACTTGGTAAGTACAACTTTCTACATTAATTCCTTTCGTATTTAAGAAAACATATGTAAAAGGTTATGTACTAGTGAAAGATGTTACCAGATCTAATGATATCCTTTGTTTTGCAGTCTGTGCACCAACGACCGCGTGTGTGGGCGCGGCCAGTTCTGCGACCAGCACTACGGCGTGTGTCGGGACCACGTGACGGAGGGACACGAGTGTCGTCGGGACGCCATGTGTGAGGGCGGATACCTGCATGTTCGGCCTGTGCCAAAAGCGCATCAAGCGTGGGCGTGAGGGCGCCAGGTGCCGCAAGGAGCGGGATTGTGGAGCAGGGATGTGCTGCGCCCGTCGCCATGGAGAGCAGGTGTGTCAGCGGCGTGTGCCGTTGGGCCACAAGTGCTACGTCCCTGAGGGCGGCCTCGACTACTCCATGAACCAGCTTTGTCCGTGCGAGAGCGGCCTTGTGTGCAAATACACGGCTCAACAGCCTCCTTCCAGGCACCAGCTCATGGCCCTCATGTCGGCGCACGAGGACATGCGCTGCGCAGCGCCCTCGCACCGCGTCGACTGACATGTCAGGAGTCGATTGTGTTCTCAATATATTTATCCCAGATGAACTTCTAGTCAGCAATGTATTTTATATAAGCTAATAAACCTTACCTTATATTCGTCTGTCTGAATTTAATCATCCCTCATTATCAAACGTACCCAATAAAGATGAACTACGTCCGTAAAGCCTTAAAAATCAAATTAAAAGTCCAAAGTTTACAGTTGTTTTATCTTGCAAAATTAATAGCTAATTACATAAATGATGAGTGCATAGACACAAATACATATATATGTATATATATATATATATATATATATATATATATATATATATATATATATATGTAGTGTAGATGTAACCAAAATGGAAACAATCTCAACACTATCATTCATGGTAAATGTAATCATAAAATGGCAAACTTTCAGTAGTCACCATTTAGAAGTTTATGACAAAATGACCATCATTTCACATGAGCCCCCTTTAAAACTTATGAAAAAGAAAATTTAAAAGATATTTATTTAAAGCTCGTGAAAAATAAAAATTTTGAACCACCCCATATTAAAACTTGACTTATCTGATCGTATATTAACTTATTTGTGTGTTAATACTATACCACTCCACTGATTGTCCAAAAAACATTCACAAACCTCCATCATGTGTTTATGAGTACTTAGTGGATGTATTTCAAATCTTATTGTTCTGTTTACATTAGCACTGAATGTCATATTAAATGCGCGTGTATTAAAATACTGGATTCTACAGTGCCGGTGCTCCACCGAATGTGCATGCCGTTCCTTAACTATTCAGTGACCAACAGAGTCGAAGGAACAGGGAAGGAGCAGCAGGCATACTTGTCATGAACAGGTGTGTAGACCCTTGGCTGTTGGGCCTGTGGTCGTAAGAGCCCACGATGTGTACGATCACATGAGTATTGAATAAAAAGTGGGTTTAACTAACTAAATTCCTTTAGAATCTTTTGTTCAAGGCGAGAAAAAGCGGTCACATAATCCCGTCTTTGGGTTACTTTCAGGGCATCTCGGGTCAAAGTAGGTACGATGGGCGGGCAAGTCATAATTGCTGCCCCACCCTTGACCGGATTAAGCTCCCATATCCAAGACTCTTGATAATAGATCCTATACTAATATGAATATTTATGATTTCTTGTTTGTATGAAGTGCACTATCGTTTGTATGGTGGCGTGTACATTCATTTAGGATATCATGACCAGATTATCCCATAAATAAAACACTGCCAGGCATACATATAGTTTCCTTGTGTTGATTCCTAAATTAAGATATATGCTCATTTGTTTAAATGTGATTGTTTCTGTGATGCGTTTCATTAAAAACAGTACACTTCCTTGTATCCAATACCCTTACTTTCGGATCCACAGCGGACAGGAACGGGGAATCAGGACAGGTGAGAGGATTATGTGTCCAGGGGGCGGGCAAGTGATTATGACTTGCCCGCCCATCGTACCTACTTTGACCTAAGTTGACCTCCGTAAATCTTCTATTATGTTTTTCCCGTAACGTCTGTAACAGGTGGATCAGGTGCTAGGCGTCGTCACGTGATCAGTCCTCTCATATATATGAGACCAGAGACTGTGATCAGGTCAGTACTAGCCGGACAGGTGACGCACACTCAATTCACTCTCAAGTGCACACTCCTCTTCCTTGATAAGAAACCATGAACTTGTGTCTCTTCTCCCTGACGGTGGGATGCCTGGTGACCCCCTGCATGGCACAAGGACTTTCCTGGCTCTTCAGACGCCTCCATAAAGCAGGTCGCCATAACATCCGCGACATCAGTGGCGCCGTCACAACTCCCATCAACTGACGACAGATCAACCCTTCGACTTCTACAAACACTTGGTAAGTACAACTTTCTACATCAATTCCTTTCGTATATAAGAAAACATATATGTAAAAGGTTATGTACTAGTGAAAGATGTTACCAGATCTAATGATATCCTTTGTTTTGCAGCGTCTGTGCACCAACGATCGCGTGTGTGGGCGCGGCCAGTTCTGCGACCAGCACTACGGCGTGTGTCGGGACCACG